TGGCTCACCAATTCAATACTCAATTCAAGACATCCAATAATGATGGGGTACATGGGATATTTATAGGTGTAAAATAAATCTAAGCCTAAATCTAATAGATCTCCTAAATATTGCAAGAATAGAAATCCTAAGTCTAGAAAGCAATAAAATCCTAAACCTACCAAAATACTAATGCTTGGCTTGCACACCAAGGAAATCTAGAAGCTCCCTAATTAACCCTACATTAAAAACTCTCAGCGCTATCATACGCACGCCGCCGACCTCGGCTCTCCTATTCCTTGGCGCGCGAGGCATCGCGCGCCTCATGTGTCCCGCACGCGCACGCCGCCTCCCCAGCACTCTCGCCTAATCCTTCGGGAACTAGGACTCGCGCGCGCCCCTCACACGCGCACGCCATTGCGCACGCTTCGCTCATGTCGTCCGTCCCGCGTGCGTGTCCGTCACCTTCCAGCACTCCTACGCCCGCTAGGACTCGATCGTCCGCTCCTGCCAGCGCATCACCCGTGCCGCTTGCGTTGTCGTCCCGCGCCTCACGCGTTGTCTCCAGCCCCCCAGCGTCCCGTTCCTCTACCGCGCGCCCCCGTGCACCTGCTGCACCACGTGTTCCCGTCGTCTCCGCGGCCCGCTCGTACCCGCGTACGTCCGCTGCCGTCCGCGCGCTCGTCTCTCCGCCTGGCACATAATTACGCACATCATCCCCCGATGCGCGTTCCCCGTATCCCCCTCGTGCGCACCATCGTACGTCACATCCATGTGCACGTCCTTGCTCATCCGACCCCTTCGTATGTTCGCGCGCATCACGGCCCGATGCGCGCCCCACGCTCGATAGCCTATCCTCCTCGACCCTTTTGTCGTTCGGCTCCGTTGGGTCGCCCGTTGGCCATGGGTCCCATCCGTCCAACCCGATACAATCACCAGCTCGCCAAATCCAACCATCCTTCATACGACCCTTACCTCCCTTTCGAGCCACCATCTTGCGAACTCGCCTTTTCCGCGCACAAGGCTTGCACCAACACTTCTCCTCTTTTGTTTTTGCCTTGTGTATCCTTCGAGCTCGTTTGGTCTTGTTCCTCCTAGGCTTGAGCTTAGCTTGTGGACCACATCCCTTTGGCCAGTCCCTCTTGCATGATGGTCGATAAATTGGACTTGATGGCTCTTCCAACACGTTCTCCAACCATAAAACGAGACCATCGTCATCTTCATCGTTTGACTCACCGGGGTTGATGACCACTTCCGTATCATTCCCCTCTTCTTCGAGACTTTCCTTGTCCTCAAGGATTAAGAAGTTAAGCTCTCTTTCATCCTCATGGCCATTAGCATCGATCACCATTGCTTCTCGGGCTTGTACGAGTTGTCTTTCATACTCCTCCTTTTGCCCGTACATCTCCTCCAAATATTCTTGCTCCCATGGTGTCAAACCTCTTTCTAAACCTTCCAAATATTCGAGATCTTCTTGATCCCACTCATCTATTGCTCAAACATCATGATTTTTTTTTTTTTGACTCTAAATATTCGAAAAATAAATGGGAAAAATTCGAAAAATTCGAACCCCCAACAAGACTCAAAAATAATCGAACAAAAAGAAATTCGGCCCCTCAACAAAAGGTAGTAACCGAAAAAAATAACAAAGGACTAACAAGATGACACTTTTTTTTTTTAATGAAAAATCGAATAAAAATTCGAAATTTCGACTCAAAAAAAAGAAGAGAAATTCGGTCCCTCACCAAAAGGCAAACCGAAAAAATAAAAAGATAAGATAGATAACCACACGATCAGCCCCTCTCAATGAAAGCACCAATGATGAAAAGTAGATCGTGTGTTCACCTATACTTGGGTTGCGAATAAACGACGCACTCAGGGCCTTCATTTATTCCCGATAGATGTATCTAGCAGACGCACTCAGGGCCTTCTCCTAGACACTGTGACTTGAGACGCTCTCAGGGCCTTCTCTCCGACACTGTATGTAAAGACGCACTAATGGCCTTCTTTATCACACGTTAAGAACACAAGGTTCCCCCTCAAAATTGGCTCACCAATTCAATACTCAATTCAAGACATCCAATAATGATGGGGTACATGGGGTATTTATAGGTGTAAAATAAATCTAGGCCTAAATCTAATAGATCTCCTAAATATTGCAAGAATAGAAATCCTAAGTCTAGAAAGCAATAAAATCCTAAACCTACCAAAATACTAATGCTTGGCATGCACACCAAGCAAATCTAGAAGCTCCCTAATTAACCCTACATTAAAAACTCTCGGCGCTATCATACGCACGCCGCCGACCCTCGGCTCTCCTATTCCTTGGCGCGCGAGGCATCGCGCTCCTCATGTGTCCCGCACGCGCACGCCGCCTCCCCAGCACTCTCGCCTAATCCTTCGGGAATAGGACTCGCGCGCGCCCCTCACACGCGCACGCCATTGCGCACGCTTCGCTCATGTCGTCCGTCCCGCGTGCGTGTCCGTCACCTTCCAGCACTCCTACGCCCGCTAGGAC